GTCCATGATGTTTGTTGAGACTGTTCGTGGCATAAATCTAGCGCATGCTCGGCCGTGGGCCACAGGGTGGTTTTTAATACAGTTTCCAGAGCCCAGTTTTGGAAGAATTAGGAAATTACAGTTCTTCACCAATTCTTGTCAGAGTTAGGGTTTCTATTGCTGTGATGAAACACCAGTACCAAAAGCAACTAGAGGAGGAAAGGGTTTATTTGGCTTATGCTTCCACATCACAGTTCATCATTGAAGGAAATCAGGGCAGGAACTCCAACAGGGCAGGAACCTGGAGTCAGGAGCTAATGCAGAGGCCATGGAGGAGTGCTGCTTACTGGTTTCATCCTCATGACTTGTTCAGCCTGCCTTCTTATAAAACCCAGGAGCACCAACCAGTCCAGGGGCAGCCCCATGCACAATTGCCTGGGCCCTCCCCCAGCAATCACCAATTTTTAAAATGCCCTCCAGGCTTGCCTACAGCCTGATCTTAGGGAAGCCCTTTCTCAGTTGAGGTTCCCTTCTCTCTGATGAGTCCAGCTTCTGTCAGGGTGGCATAAAACTAGCCAGCCCAGTTCCCTTGCCCCCTTTCCATCTTGTCTGTCTTTCAATGCAATGTGCAAAATCCTATGCTTTGAAGATATCTTTCCCACTCTGTTAAAAGCTGTCTTTTAACAGCCCTCACTAGATCAGTTGTCTGCAAAGGGAGCTCGTGACGGAAGCAGAGTCATTCAGAACCCATTTCTGTGCTTTGCCATGGCATGTGAAGAAGTCGGGACAGACTACAGAGTCTGAATTCTGACGCTGTTGTCCCTTCCCCCCGCGGCTAGCACCTCTGACATCCTCCCCTGCTAAGTCACAGCCAGCCTTGCCTCTCACCATGTTCAGGCTTCCAGCACTTCTGGCTTATCACACGGCATACTACTTTGATTTGATGCACAAATAAGCTTCCTAAATCTTTCTTTTACATCAATTTCAGGGTGGGTGTGGGGACTATTGGTGAACACTGAGTTAACACTCAAAAGAGTTCTGGTTGAGGTTAAGAGCATTTGGCTTTGAAATAAGACAGATCTTGACTGGAGATAAGCTCCTGCAGACTTTGAGACATTGGTCAACTAGTTCATCTTCCCATGTCTGCTTTCTCAACTATAAAATTGATATGAAAACATCAAGGTATAATATCACATGAACAGTGCAGATGTTGGAAGAGAGAAAGTGGCACAACATGTAAGAATGAGTCCAGGGGCTGGAGAAATGGATCAGCGGTTTAGAGCACATGTTGCCCTTACAGAGAATCCAGGTTTGATTCCAGCACCCACATAATGGCTCACAACCATCTGTAACTACAGTTTCAGTAGAGCTGATGTCCTCTTCCGGCCTCCTTGGAGGAGGCACTTGTGTAGTGCACATACATACAATCAAAACACTCATACATATAAATAAATCTAAACAAATGTTTTCATGTCATAAATGTTCACTAAAAGAAAGCAAAAAAAATAGCAAAACAGAATTCTTCCAGTGGGTATGTACTCTGGTGTTTTGAGTATTTACCTTAGCTTGATCTCTAAGTACAAAAAAACAAAACAAAAATGAATAAACAAACAAACAAATGGCTAGACAGTGGTGGCACACAACTTTAAAGTTCCAGGCCAACCTGGTGTACAAAATGAGTTCAAGAAAAAAAAAAAAAAAGGTGATACAGAGGGTAGCCAGAGGCATTAAAGGTGTGCACACTTTAATCCCAGCACTTGGGAGGCAGAGGCGGGTGCTTCTGGAGTTCAAGGACAGCCAGAGCTAAAGAAATACCTTACAAGCCGGGCAGTGGTGGCACACGCCTTTAATCCCAGCACTCGGGAGGCAGAGGCAGGTGGATCTCTGTGAGTTCGAGGCCAGCCTGGGCTACCAAGTGAGTTCCAGGAAAGGCGCAAAGCTACACAGAGAAACCCTGTCTCGAAAAATTAAAAAAAAAAAAATAAAAAAAGAAAGAAATACCTTACAGAGAAAATAGCTACATGTTCACTAACTTTTTGTGAGACAAGGTCTCACTGGCTCATCTGAAACTCACAAAGATCCTTCTAACTCTGCCTCCCAAGTGTTACATGTTTATTAGTTTTAACTTTTTCCTGAAATAGAGTCTACTTACATGTAGAAAAATGCACTTATACACACAGTCCAATAAATTTTTACATAAATTGAAAATGTCTTTGTAACAAGCATCATGTTACCAAGACACATTATCAACTCCTTAGGATCCTCCTTCAAGCTCCCTTCAATTGTGTCTACATTAATAAATCAAAAGAATGTTTACTCTTTGGTACATAGGCTATTTAGGAAAAAGGTGTCTGAGAAATCCAATTACACTATTACAAATAATGCGAATCACTCTTGTTGCTGTGAAGTATTGTATAAGTTTAATACTATCTTTTCTGTTATCAGTGGAGGGTTATGTGTTCTTTGATGGTTTAAGGAAGTTGTAAAGAGTGCTGCTAAGAACACCTTTGCAGATATCACCAGGTAGACATAAAATACAAAGAAATAGACCCCTACCCAATATAGCATGATTATATATATATATATATATATATATATATATATATATATATATATATCACATATGTGTGTATATACAGGCAGACTTATGTAATTAAGCAGAAAAGTGGGTATATCAATCTCACAATACCACTTGCACTGTATAAGGATTCCAGTAATCCCAAACCTCCACCTTCACTTGGTATTTTTCCTTTGATTTATTATTGTTACATTTTTAAATAATTTTCTTTCATTCTAGTCTTTCTGATGTGTGGGGGGTGTACTGATTCATTGTAATTTTAATCTATGATTTCATGCTAATAAAATTGAACTGGTATTTGGACACCCTCTCTTATAAAGAGTCCTTGTCTCCTACATTGCATTGAGTTAGTGACAGACTCTACCTGCTTAATGACCGAGTCAAAATTCTGGGTAATCTTTCAGGTAATAGCTGCATCCTTAATTGTAATGACCATTCTATGGAATAATCTTTCTGTATACTGTGTGAATACATACAAAATGGGGTAGAGGTAAAAGCCACGAGCCTCAGGGCAGCAATAGATTAATAGAAATGGGTTAAATTGTAAGAGTTAGTTAGTAACAAGCCTGAGCTATTGGCTGAAGATTTACAATTAATGTTAGTTAAGTCTCCCAGTCAGTTATGTGGGAAGTAGCTGCTGGTTATTTGGGAGCAGGTGATTGGGAAAGAAAAACTCCATCTATATCACAGAGCATGCATTTAAAAAAGAATTTTTGTCAGTATACTGGCACACACCTTTAATCTCAGCACTCGGGAGGCAGTAGCAGACAGATCTCTAAGTTCCTAAGTTCAAGGCCAGAGCTGGGTCTACAAAGCAAATTTCTGGATAGCCAGGGCTACACAGAGAAAAGAAACCCTTCAAAGAAGAAGAGGAAGAAGAAGAAAGAGGAGAAGAAAGAGGAGGTGGTGGAGGAGGAAAAGGGGAAGGGGGATAGGGAGAAGGAGGAGGACAAGGAGGAGGAGGAGGAGGAAGAGGAGGAAGAGGAGGACGAGGAGGAGAAGGAGAAGGAGAGGAAGAGGAAGAAGAAGAAGTCCAAATCAACATGCCACTGAAAAGACAATACGAGACTTTGGACCATGTTATTTAGTCATTGTACTGTTATTCTTCCAGAGATGCACTTGAAAAGGAATAGAATTTCCCTGTCCTTCAGGAAAATTATACCACAGTGAAAGAATTTATCATCCTGGAGATTGTTGGATCCCAGGAGCTGAGCTAGATCTTATCCGTCTTGCTTCTGGTGTAAGTGACAACTATCACAGGAAACCTCAGCACCATCAACATCACCATGAATCTCTCACATTCCCGTGAACTTCCTGCTCCACACTCTGTTTGTGACATCTGCTTTCCTTCATCACACTTCCTGATCAGTGTGTCAGGGAGAAAACCATCTCCTAAAATGATTGTCACCCAGATGCTCTTCCGTTTTCTTCCAGTTTCCTCAAAAGAAGCCTTAACTAGAGATGGACTTCCATGAACTGCTCTCCTAGCCCACCTCTATTAAATTGCCCTTTTGTTTATTTGGTCATATATTCTTTGATCATCTCTCCTGATGATAAAGAGCTCACAAGTTCTGAAAGAAAATGTGATAAATTGTTGCAAAATATGAAAGAAATCTGAAAGCAATTTAATCGGGAATTTTGCAAAGGAAAGAGTTGATAGAGCATGTCAGCAACACACAGGGAAGTGTTTGGTTTCTGGTCTCAAAGATCCGATCATCTGAGGAGTCTTACTCTCTGAAAGCGTAAGGTAGAGAGCAATCAATAGAAGACACCCAAATGCAACCTCTGGCTTCCACACCCATTAGCATGGGAACATACACCCACATACATGTGCATGTACACTGGAACATACACATAAAACACACACTCACGCTCGCACTTGCACAAACACACACAGGAAAAATAAAAATAAATAAATAATAGTTAACATGGAAACTTTAAGAACAAAGAAAGATGTGGTTTCCAGTCTCTATGGTAACTCTGAATATGTAATAGATCAACAAGAAAAAAAACAGATATGATGAAATATCCATATAAGGAATCGTGTTCATTTTTTTCTAAGTTCCTCTCTTACACACACAGACTTGTTGGCTCCCTCTGAGCCTATTAAGCAAAGAGGCCGGGCTCTGGGTACAGGATCTGTGAGGATTCATCCCCTCCCCTGCCTACATCAGGAGAGTCTCAAAGCCAAACTGTTTGTTTGCACACATCTTCTGGTGTACCTTTTATAATAACTCCCAACAGACTTTTCTCCCCAAGGAAAAGTCTGGCCACTGAACTTCAATAATCATACCCAACAAGATTGTCCTTGGTGATTCTTCTATTGGGGCTGGGGCTGAGGGCGTGGAGCTCAGGGCAGGCATGCTATGGAGAAACACGGTAAAGCCATGCAGAAGAGATTCTTGGGGCTTTTAAGAGAGAAGATACTAACCCTCAGATGCATGTCTTCCTTAAGAAGAAATCCGTGACAAATTACCAAAGTCTAAGGTCAGTTTGTACAATCAAATAGCCACCTCTGCTTCTAGGGTGGGAATTGGAGTTTGAGGGTCTTCCTTGGGGAGTATGTTTGTATGTCTGATCATGTATCTGGATGCATATGTCCGTGCACAACCAACTTTGAAATATTACTGTGGATTAGCTAGAAAGGGTTTGTAAGTTGGTGATGCTTTCAGTAGGTGTGAGGTGATAGTTATTAATTCTAAAAGCCAGAATAATGCAGAGAGAAATAATTTATTGTCCAAGATAAGGAAAGTTCAACATGTTAGAAAATGTGAATGATGGAGTTGGGGGTTTTCCTCAAGTTAGGAACTATAAATTCAAAAGCCTACTTTATTAGAGTGTATTTTCTCAGGCAAATTGGTAAGTACTTGGGATTTTGAGTTTTTCTTGCCAAAAACAAAGGAAAATGACTTATACCCAGTTTCTTTATTCTGCTCCGGTGTGGTGCAGACATCCCCAGGAGTTCTGATTAATTTTCCTAGTTTCCAATTCTTGTTTCTGCCATTGAACACAGAAGGCCATCAGTTTTTTACTTGTCAGGTAAATTGGTGATTTGATCAGTTTCAAGACTGATTTCTTTACAGAACCTCAGGCTGTTGGTCATATTACACTTTTTTAAGACAGAAAGCAGAGAGTGCTTTTAATTTCATCCCTAGTTCACTTTCATGTACAGTTATTCAGCTAACACATCCCACCGTACAAGTTTTATCTACTTCCCGATTCACTTCTCATTTGCGATTCTTCCTGGTCTAATTCAACCGCCTGAATGGCCCCAAACACCCAGCACAGAGGTTGCAGGGAGGCTTCTATCCTGAAGACTCCCCATCAAACCCAAATGGAATTCCAAATAGTCCAAATCCACAGGATGGTTGACTTTGGGGTGGGGTGGGGAAGGCCAAATGCTTCTCTTCTCCTAACCTCCATTTCCTCATCGGCAACACAGTATTCAGGCTTTGTCTGTGCTCCCTCTCTTACCTTTGGGTGGCCCTGGCTGTCAATGGGAACTTACACGTCCCTCAGACCTGTAAGATGCTCTCACTGTGACTTTGATGCTTGACTCAGAATTGCCTTCCATAAGACCTTATATTTCTGTGTTCGTATTATTTTTGTATTTATCTCTTCAGTAACAGCTTATAAGCCCGACCAAGTGAAGAATAAGATACATAATAGGAATCATAAAAATGAGCTAGTTTTTTTAATATAACTCTATGGTGGTTTAGATACTGCATAATAAATACATATAGAGAGCTAGAGAGGGGCTTCGAGCTTAGCTCGGTGTAGAGCTCTTGCCCAGCATGCTGAAGGCCTGGGATCAGTCTGCAATACTGGGGTAGGAGTCTCTTGACAAATACATTTTTGTGTTGTTAATCCCACTGATTGAGAATAAGACCACTACCACAGTTTAAAGCCAGTTTTGAAGCAAACTTTAATTAAATACTGGCCAGGTGGATGGCTCTGGCCAGGTCCATACCCAGGTTTTTGGGAAATGGCCCAGAATCAGTTTGAAGTTTGAAGCAGCTTAAGAAGAAAAACCCACAATTTATTGAATTTCCCAGCAGGTCCAATCAGGGGCAAGCATACATCCTGACATAGTTCCTTCAGACATACCTCCCGCCCACATGTGACCAAACACATCCGGTGCAGATGGGTCAAACAAACTTGTTTAGGGGAGTGAAAAACATGTAGCTTGTCATCTCCCATAAACAACAACCTCCAGCATTTCAGGAACTATCTGTCCTTGGGCAAGGGGCTTGCAAATGAGAGGCATTTTTGTTTCATGGATCTTTTAGTAATTAAAACTTAAAATGTAGGGTGGGAAGAGATGGCTCAGTAGTTAAGAGGGCTGTTCTTCTAGAGGTCCTGAGTTCAGTTCCCACACGGTGGCTCACAACCATCTGTAATGAGATCTGGTGTCATCTTCTGGCCCACAGGAGAGAGCACTGTATGTATAATAAATAAGCCTTTAAAAAAATAAACTTAAAATGTTAACTTTGGCTCTCACGGTGCCAGAGTTAATTCTTTTTTTTTTTCCTGTGTAAAAACATAATTTATTCTCTCATCCAGACATCTGTATTTTACTTTTACAAAATAGCAGACAAAACTTGGTTTTTTACAGTAGTACAGAATATACGATATTGAAATATATATTATAGCACTTGGGTTATAAACACACAGCAAAGGCATTATCACTTCACAGCCACCATGTTTTTCATACACTTGGGATCTCACTGGGAAATAAACATTGCTTTTGGCTTAAATATATAAATAGTCTTGGATGCTTTTTGTAGCTACAAAAGCCAGTCTAAAACTACCACCGTCTACAAAAGTGATAGGCTTTAGAATACAGTTTTGCTATCATGCCAGAAGAAGACGTAACTACAGGAAGCCAGAGGTACTGATGACTTCAGTGCAGCTGCGGTTGCTCTACCTAACTGTGGCTCGAAGGTGCGCGCCGTGGAAGTCCAGAAGCGGCGTTGCTTCGGAACCCCCAATCGGTGGATTCTTTAGGGTCCAGCCATTGTGTGATGTGGGTTAGAGCGATGTCCACCAGTCACTTAACTATGACAGAGCGAAGCAGCGTAGGGGCTTTCTTCATCCCGTGACTCGGGACTCGAGCGCGATACCCTGCAGCGTGTCTCCCGCGCGGACCCGGTGCTCCACAAGGCGCTCGATGACGCCCGCGCTCAGAGGCGCCCCACTCTGGCCGTGCTGCCGTATGAGCGGGTCTTGGTGCTGGCCAGGCTCAGCGACAGCTCGGCCTCCTCCGGCTGCGAGCCGGAGCAGGAGCGCGGCGGCGGCGGGGAGGGCACGGAGGCCCGGTGCGCACGGAGGCCGCCTTCCCGCGGGGCCGGCGCAGAGTTCCACCATGGGTCCTGCCAAGGCCGCCGGGGCACCGAGCTTGCCCAGGGTTAATTCTTAAGCAACAGCTATCGGTTGAAAGTCCAAAACAATGGACAATACTCTTTTTATTTTTTTTTGTTATTTCTTTTTCTGATAATTTTTATATATGTGCATATATACTCAAACAATATTATTACAAAAGTAATTGTTAGATAATCAAACAATGGATATACAATATGGAAATCTCCTTCAATACTAATTTATAAGATAAATTCATTTGTCATCAGCTTTGAGAATTTTTTTTTTCTTCAACTAAATTGTCCATCGCCACAGCACGGCATCCGTTCACCAGTTCACTACCCCGGGGGAAGATTTGTTTAGGGACAGAAAGGAGGGACTCACAGAAATTCGGTCCTAGGTTCCCCTTGTGCCCCTCCACTGGCATGCCACCCAGCTCCACCCACACCCCACTCTATCACAGAACCCTAATCCATCACACATCCCTCTCCCCAGATTCCACTCACCCACCCGAGGGAGTGACCCTCCCCAAATCCCCTATCCCCTCGACAGATGGCCTGGGGAACCTACCTTACTCAAAAAGGTTTATTGAGACAGTTTTTCACATATAAGTTTGGGGCAAAAGGAATGGGGCTTATAAACAGGAACCTGAAGAGGGAACCAAAGACAGAAAGTGGAAGCACCCCTCCCAAGGTGGGGGAGGATAAATAGAGGCACAAGAGTGGAGCTGGGAGGAGACCGGCAGACTATCGCACAGTGATAATGTGGAGGGGGGGGCGCCATTAAAATCCCATCATTTATACAGAGAGACAGAGAGCTGTGGCCCCGAGTCCACGCCACCCTCTACATCTCAAGGAGGGCCTGTGGTCTGGGAGTTTGTCTCAGAGGCGTGGAGGCCCTCCCCAGGAAGGCCTGGCCCCAGAGGCTTGGTTAGTGTTCCAAAGCAGAAGGAAGGCACTGAGGTCCAAGAGGACAGCCTGGGGCCCACACAGGAGGGCCACAGGAGACTCTCCTCTCCCCACCTTTGAGAATTTTTATTAACAATTAACTCATCCTATAAATATAAGTCCCACTAGACATAATTTTATGAGACCTGTTTCTTTCAACTAGTGTGTCATGAACACTTTCTCTACCCTCATATCTAGAACAACCTAGATCTTTTCAATGGCCTCGTGATACCTGGTTGAAGTGATGTTTAAGTAGGACCCTGCAGATGGACATTTTCTATTACAGTTACCACATCACAATCAAGAGTGAGATAAACACCCTTGTAGACATTATTTTTGAAAATTTAATTTGTTCTGATTGTCTGTCTCTGGGCATCAAGAATCAGAATACGTAAGGCCAAAAGCAGGAAGTTAGTTCTTATGACAAGAAATCAGTGGGCTAGAAACCTCTGGGCCTGAGGAATGTTCCCAGCAGGGATTTCAGAGTCTCAGAAATTCTCCTCAATGAATATGACTGCTCCGGAAACCCAGGCAAGGCCAGTAAGAGACAAGACTCTAATTTCAATGCTAACAGACCCTGACCTTACAAAGACCTGAAGTTAAAGTGTGGTCCCAGAGCAAGAACCCCTTGACTAGAGATACAGTTTCACAAACTGGTCACCTAGCCCACCTTTATTAAAACATTTCTTTTGTTTATTTAGTTATGCATGTTTTGGTTGCCTCTCCTCATACCAACACTTCTGTGATATCTGCAATGTTTCATGATAATTGTTCTATTGATATATCTGGACAATATTGAAGATATGGGCTCAGCAGTAGGATATATTTGTGTCTGAATTCAGCCTACAGTAATGATCAGAGACAGCATCGACTGAAAAACATTCAACACGATGAATTATCACACTTAACAGCACTTAATTTCCTCTATTTTCAGATAGAGAAATGTAGAAACACTGAATGATTGAGAAAATATTAAACATCTAAAAATCAGCTCACTTTCATAGTTCATTCAGTTCATGATCACATGGCCCAGTGAGTCTCTGCCTATGAGACTTCACTGCACATAATTTCACAGTGGGAACACACAGCAGAGGGGCAGCTCACCTCAGGGCAACCAGGAAGCTGTAAGAGAGAGACTTGGGCCAGGGTTCCAATAACCACTCAGCTCTATCTACCTCCTGAAGGCTCCGTTAGCATGGAAAGTAGCCACTGCACCTGTAAAAGCTTTTGTCCTATAGCTGTGAACCGTTTCTGGAAATTCTTGATCTCAACAGTTTGTTGTTTGTTTGTTTACCAACACCCATCAGCTTCAAATGCCGTGACAGGAACAAAACCTGGCCAGTTGAGTTTATGACCAAGTAAGGGCTAGCTAAGTGCTGGTAAGTCATGGGCAGAAAACAGCATTACCTTCTCACCCTGTAACTGGAGACAACACTATTGAAAACAATTTAATATTAAAGCCCCAAAGGCTAGAAGGGCTAGGACAAGTTCATCTAGCATTGCTTGTGGGCTGTAAAGACCTTACTTACATCCTTGTGATCAGTTGTGATCGAATTGCACTGATGAGAGATGAAGCCTCCAGAGCTCTTATGCCTTTAAAAACTGTGCCATTGCTCCACATTTCTCCATCAATCCCTGATGGAGGCATCAGAGTTCATGTCTCCCAAGCTGCTGTCTTTTCTCTCTACCATATTATCTCTAGCATAGTTTGAAACTTAAATGGAAAAAAGAAAGAATTTATGCAGTAAGGCTTATACATTAAATGGCTGCATGTGTTCCAGTTTTCAATAAGTCTTGTAAAGTATTTACACTGGAAAAAAAATACCTAACCATTTTATAGAGTAACAATGTTTATAGGCAATGAAATTTTCTGAATGATTGATAGGTTAGCAAATAGGTAGGTGTGAAACTAGAGAATTAGATTTGCATGGTCTCAGCCTCAAAGAAGACTAAAGCAGGAAAACTGGCAAAATAGTTCAGTGCTGATGGGAAGACAATGTCCAGTAAAATCCAGAGTATTCAGTGGTTAGAGTAGTGTCAGAGGTCAGCCTCAAGAAGACTATGGAGTGGAGGGAGTATAAAAGCAATGAACAGTGAAGGTAGCCAAGCCCAGGGCCAGCAAGATGGCCTAGTGAGTAAAGGTACTTAACACTAAACTTGACAACCTGAATTCAATACCCAGGACCCACATGGTGGAAGCAGAGAGTTGACTCCCGTAGGTTGTCCTCTGACCTCTAGGAATGTTCTATGGCATGCAACGACACACACATCCACACACACTAAGTAAATGTAATAAATCTTTTAGAACAAAATAATACCCAAAGCACACATTTCTTTTGGTTTTGATGATGTGCTTTTCCATAACAAAATTATTTCCTCCCCAGGTGACAGAAGAAGTAGGAGAAACATGAGCCAATGGAACAGAGGAATTACAGCAGGGTGAAAGAATTTGTTTTTGAAGGACTGACCCAGTCCCAAGAGCTGAGTTTGGTCTTGTTTCTTTTCTTGTTCTTGGTGTACACAGCAACTGTGCTGGGCAACCTCCTCATCATGGTCACTGTGACCTGGGAGTCCCGCCTCCACACCCCCATGTACTTCCTGCTTCGTAACCTCTCTGTCTTAGACATCTGCTTCTCCTCCATCACTGCTCCAAAGGTCCTAGTGGACCTTCTCTCAAGAAGAAAGACCATCTCCTTCAATGGCTGTATCACTCAGATGTTTTTCTTCCACCTGCTTGGTGGAGCAGACATTTTCTCCCTCTCTGTGATGGCATTTGATCGTTACATGGCCATCTCCAAGCCTCTTCACTATGTGACTATCATGAGTAGGAGACGGTGCACAGCCCTCATTGTGGCTTCCTGGGTGGGGGGATTTGTTCACTCCATTGTGCAGATTTCTCTCTTGCTCCCACTCCCCTTCTGTGGACCCAATGTTGTTGATGGTTTCTACTGTGATGTCCCACAGGTTCTCAAGCTTGCCTGTACCAACACCTTTGCTCTTGAGGTCTTAATGATTTCTAACAATGGCTTGATCTCTACCCTGTGGTTTGTCTTCCTGCTGGTGTCCTACACAGTCATCTTGACAATGCTGAGGTCACACACAGGAGAGGGAAGGAGGAAAGCCATCTCCACCTGCACCTCCCACATCACCGTGGTCACCCTGCACTTTGTGCCCTGCATCTATGTCTATGCCCGGCCCTTCACTGCCCTCCCCATGGACAGAGCTGTCTCCATCACCTTCACTGTTATCATCCCTGTCTTAAACCCAATGATCTACACCCTGAGGAACCAGGAGATGAAGTCAGCCATGAGGAGACTCAGGAAAAGACTCAGACCTTCTGAAAAGGAATAGATACTGTAAGTCTCCAATTAGAAAAATCAGAACTTAAAGACAGAAGACCCTAATCAATGGACCATTGTAGCTAGAGTTTTTCTGGTCTTGCCTGGCCCACAGTCAGGACAAATCTCTCTCTTCCACCAGTCCCGCAGCTGCTTAGACCCAACCAAGTAAACACACAGACTTATATTGCTTACAAACTGTATGGCCGCAGCAGACTTCTTGTTATCTAGTTCTTCTATCTTAAATTAACCCATTTCTATAAATCTATACCTTGCCACGTGGCTCGTGGCTTACCAGCATCTTTACATGTTGCTTGTCATAGTGGCAGCTGGCAGTGTCTCTCTGACTCAGCCTTTCACTTCCCCAAATTCTTCTCTTCCTTGTCCTGCCTATACTTCCTCCTACCTGGCTACTGGCCAATCAGTGTTTTATTTATTAACCAATAAGAGTAACACATTTGACATACAGAACATCCCACAGCAGGCCATGGTGAGACTGGTGTTTATCTTTATTGTACAGTGGAATCCTCAAAAACTAGAGACAATGGTCTCTCTAGGGTTTCCTCATGGTGAGATTGATGACAACATGGAGCCTTAGACATAATTCTTGTCAATTCTTGAGCTGGAGAGCTGGCTCAGCAGTTAAAAGCCTTGCTGTTCCTGCAGAGGACCTGAGTCCAAGTCCTAGATCTCACATGAGGCAGCTCACAACACCCATAATTCCAACTCCAGGGGACCTGACATTTCTGTCGTCTGACAGAACCAGACATACACATGCACATAACTAAAAGTAAAATTAAATGTCAGCTCTTAGGATCTCAAATGCTTATAAGACTCAAACACCTTGCTTTACTGTTAAGAAAATGAAATCCAATAGAAAGCTAGGTCTTATTGGGGGCGTTATTTGGGGGTTACCGTTTTTTTAATTGGTTTATTGTTTTATGTGTAATGCTAAGAACTGAACTTGTGAGATTTTTTTTTCCTATCAAAAGTAGCTAACCCACCTAGAGTCAATATTCCATAAACCTCGCCCATCGAGTGAAACCCCTGTATATCTGTCTGTTTGCCCACCATCCCTGAAACTTTACCATCACATCCTTCCCCTTAAGGTGATTATAAATTAGCCAGTCGCATTAGATTATGAGGTCACGTTTCCATCAATGAAATGAGACACAGTCACCATCATTAGCATAAATTCTAACTGAATTCCCCACCCCAGTGTGCTTGGCTTGCTCTGTTTGCTTCCGGCACACTTAGGGCTGGAGAGATGGCTCGCTGTGGCTAAGAGTTGTGCTGCACCCACTTTACAAAAAAAAAATTGCTTTGCTGGGTTACTTTCACTTTACGCGGATTTTTTTTTTTTTGTGGTGGGGGGAAGGGGCACCAAGAATATTCTTTTCCAGCAAACCTATGGCTTCACACATGCTAGGCAAGCACTCTGCCACAGAGGTTATCTGCAGCCCATCTCTTGACTCTTGAATTGTGGCTGCACAATGTATTGTCCAGGCAATAATTAGTAAAATGACCCTCTGGGGACCCAGAGTAAAGCTAATAAAATACAGCCACTTCACCTCATGTGGAACTAGTTTTCCTTTGGAAAATTCCACTCCATTTTTCTAAGGAAGCTTCCAAACTTCCCCTTCAAAAGACAAAAAGGAATTCAGATTTCATCAGCTAGAACTGAGATATCTGACTCTGAGATAAGATTTTATTACCCCTGCTACCTCAGACACAGGTGTGGAATCTGAAACAAGCTCACAAAAAAGTGGAGATGGTGGGGGCGGGGGGGTGAAGAGAAGAGAAAAGAGAAAGGAAAGGAAAGGAAAGGGAAGGAAAGGAAAGGAAAGGAAAGGAAAGGAAAGGAAAGGAAAGGAAAGGAAAGGAAAGGAAAGGAAAGGAAAGGAAAGG